TTTACACTAAAGTTCCAAAAAAAGCCTAAGCGCCTTATCTGTATACACTGAAAGGCGTTGAGCCCCAAGTCCTACATCGTGTTACAACAGCAGATTCGGCCCGCCTTTGAATGAAGGAGGACGTTGCCTGCACGGGGCATAGGAGGCATTGCAAAGAAACGAAATCCACGAATCTGAAATTAAGCTTTCACTTTCCCGAGTTTAGGGCCTAGGGGGGGCATTGCAGGAGTTTAGGGGTTGGGTGTTTGGGGCTCCGAGGTTTAGAGTTCAGCGATTTGGCGTGTATGTGTTTCAAGCTTTACAGCTTTTGTATGGAGTTTTTAGTGATGGCGTAGAACCGACCTAAGATGAGGAAACACACTCTGAATTCGGGTCGCTGGTGTTAAGAATTGGGGCTCTGATTTCTTGAAGTTTCGGGCTCAGAATGCAGCGCGCAGATATGCAATCTGGCACTGTGCTCCTAAACCCCAAACCCAGACACGTCAGGAGACGTCCAGGCTGTGCTTTTCTGGTGTCATACTTACTACTTAAAAATTAGGGTTTGTAGTCTCCGGTTTCAAGTTCACCGCTTAAAAGGCTCTGGCATTTTGCTTTACGGCCGGGGTTTATAGGAAATTCCTGGGGTACACGGAGCTGCACAAGAGGCGTAGCGAGGTTCATTTTTGGATTCCGAAGTGTACGCCACAAGGACGATAAAGCCTTCGCGAAACCCCGTAACACACCAGAGAGGCCCTGTGACACCCCTCTTTTGTGTCGTGCTCCTCAAACCCCCCAACACCCCAATGAAAATCCAACGCCCGTAAGCTAGACAAAAACCTGAACCCAAAACTAAACCCTATCCCCAAACCCCAAACACAAACCCTGTCCGCTAAACCCTAAACCCTAAACCCTCAGGAACCAAAAACACGGAAATTGCTTGTCCCCCACAGCTACGGCCCAGCCCGGTCCAGCACACCAGACCCAAATTCAAAATGAAGTTGCAAAAGAAAATTCACAATAATTTGTGCGCCGACCACGTCCCAAACGGTTTCCAGATGTCGGTCAACCTTGATAAGGCCAGTCAGCCACTTTAATTGCATCGTGACTCGAATCTCGAACGATATCCTCATAAGACGTCAAACTACCGAGCTGCATGGTGAAGTTCGATCCGACGACTCTGCATCTAAGGTCAGGCCAACACAAACCAGCATGTGTCACGACTCGATTCTTGATCGACAACCCCCTAAGATTTCAAACTACCGAGCAAGGGTGAAGTTCGACCCACCGACTTTGCATTTACGGTCAAATCTCGAGCGAAGATTTCAAAATACCGAGCAGCACGGTGAAATTCGATCCGTTGGCCTTGCTTAAGGGTCCGTCAGCAACAAAAAATGTGTCAAGTGAAGGCTTTTGGAGCCTTTATCCCCCTCCTTGGTCAAGTGAAGCTTTTGGAGCTACCCCTCTTTGGTCAAGTGAAGGTCCTCTAGCCCCCTCTCTGGTCGAGTGAAGCTTTTGGAGTTACCCCTCTTCGGTCAAGTGAAAGCCCTGTGGAGCCTCTAGCCCCATCTTTGGTCAATGAAGGTTTTGGCCTAAGCCCTAAACCCCTAAGCCTTCAAAACAAGATCAGCAGGCCTCGCGCTCGTGCTCTGCCTGCGCTACTCGCTCGAGCTGTTCGGACTCCGGCTCCGTGTCCAAGCCATCTGGGCTTAGGGCTTAGGGGTTTAGGGTTTAGGGGTTTAGGGTTTAGGGTTTAGGGCTTAAGGCTTCTGAGCATTTTAGGTTCTAGGGCTCAGATAGGATTTCGGCTTTCCAAAGGGGGTTTCCACAGAACTTACTTTGTTTCAGAGAACCCATGAAGCTTTCATAGCAAGGAAACCTACACATGTAGGTCTTTTGGGTCAAAGTGGGTTTAGGGTGCAAGGGGACAGCTCTGAGGTGCTTCCTTGGGCTTGGAATGTCCTGTCTGGGCTTGGGGCTTTCGGGATTAGGGTAGAAGGCTTCGGGATGGTTCAAAATGTCGGGGCTTCGGGCAATGACGTTTTGGGGCTTTTTGGGGTGTTTCAAAGCTGATCCCGGAAAGCTTTGAAGCCCAAAACGAGAAGCAATTAAAATCAAAGCAAACTAAACAGTACTCTGCCTGATAAACGCGAACACGGAATGCTAAACAGCGCTCTGTTTTACAAAGACGGTAGTCTGTGATCACCTCATTTCAGGTTCCATGCTAGTTTCGAAGACGGTAGTGGTAAAGCAGGGAGCTTGAGTAACCACTGTAGAAAAACTGCCTTCGTAGAGGAATATGTGTCATGCAAAGTCCTAAACCTCAAAACCCTAAGGAAAACCTAAACACTAAGACACTACAACCACAGACTCTAAAGCCGAAACCAGGACCGGTGCTGAGTAACGGGGAGGGTTTTTACATTAAGCAACGACATAAAGTAGTTGCAGGACCTAGGCCACTGTGCCCAAAATTTAAGGGTCCTCAACCCCAAAGCCACAAGTCCCAAAGCCTTCAAATCATCCCAGATTTAGGATCGAGTTTTTGTTTGGGGTTTTGGGGGCGCTAGGCCCCTAGGTGCTGAGGATTTACTGCAAACGGCCTGGGGGTTGAGAAGTGTAAGACACGGAACCTCTTAGACCTTAACCCGCGAAAACAAGACTACCAAAACCAGTAACCCGAAATTGCAAAAGCACCCTAAACAGAGACCCCTCATTTCAATACCTACAGTAATAAACCCCAAACCGAACCCTTCCGAGCCCCAAGAAGCGGGCCTTGCAGGGAGTCCAAAGTGACCCAAGCTGCTTCCGGGATCGTCAGGAGGCCCAGGACCTCGGCTGCGGGGTCTAAATGGGAGTTTACAAAATTAGGGTTTAGGGTTTGGAGGTTTAGGGTTTAGGGTTTAGGTGGGTACCTTATTGTGGGTCCTTATGATAAGGACCCTGCTATTTAGGGTACTATATGAGCTCCCAACTAGATCGAGGGTTTGCAGGCAAGAATGTCGGGAGTTAACCAAGCCCGGGAATAAATGATACAAGTGCTGGCGCTCTTATTCCAAAGTCTCAGACCCTAAACCACAAACCCTGAAACCCTGGTTGAGAAGGCACAAAGGCAGCTTTGGGAAAACTAAGCCCTCTCAGCCGCCTTCAAGGACCAGGGAACTCAGCAGGGTTCTTAGAAGGCTCCTGGAAGGATTTTGTGGATTTTCTACAAGGGTTTTTGTGAGGTTTCCGCCCGCATGTTCAGAGCAATTTTTAAGGGCTTTTAAAGTTCCCATAGATAGACACTGCACACGTCGAAAGCTTTGGGGAACCTTGTCACCAAGACTGTAGGTGAGCTAGGATGGAAAGCTGAAGTGCTTTCGGCTTCGAGGGCTACCTGGAGGTCACACGCCTCAAAAACCCGAAGAAAGACTCATGTTTATGAGAATAGTATGCACCCCAAGCCCTAAATCCTAAACACCCAAGCAACGAGGCCCGAAAGGGACAAGGTTCTAGCAGCTAAACCATTTTCACGAAACCGCCCCATCAGCAAACCCCAGCCTGCACAGATTAAGCCCCCTAGACATCACAGACACATCAGGATCTCAGATTTTGTGCGTAGCAACGAACTCCGGACAAACTTGCTTGCGAGGGTTTTCTTTTTTTATGTGGTCTCTTGCGGCCCTAAGAAGTCAACACTGACACCAGTCCGGGGCACGGCGAGGAGCTGCAGTAGTAAGCTCATGGTCTCAGCAGAACCTGCGGAGCGACGCTACAAACCCTGACCCGTCAAATTATCAACCCTAAACGCTACATGCTACACCCGAGAAAAATGACTAAAGGGATCTAAACACTAGTTACTAGATGGACCTAAAACCGCCAACAACCACACAGATTCTCAGGCATTGAAGCCTGTTGGAGAGAACTTGAGCTGTTCAGAGTGATGCTTGGTAAGGTTGGACATGTTGAGGTGTTTGCCAATCCCAAACCCATGCAGGGCTCTCTATTTTCGGAGACACACAGCTCTGAAATGAGTTCTGGTCAAAGAGCAACCTCCACAGACAGCACAATGAACAAATCCCAGAACCCGAACGCTGCTTGGAGTTGCACGTAGGGTGACAGGTGAGTTACAATCGGTGGAGCTTTAAGTGCCGGCGCAAATTATGGAAAAACAAAAACGAAATGCAAGTATCTACACTAGTTCCCTTCTCCAGATGAGCTCTAAACTCGAAGCCAATATCACAGAGTTTGGTACTCCAGATGAGCTCTAAACTCGAAGCCAAAATCACGGAGTTTGGTACAAACCCTCCGCTGGAAGCCACTGTAAGTCCGAGTATCTGTCTAAGGCTTAAGGAAATTTAAGAGCCCTGCGCCCGCTGCTTCACCTGTCCCGGCCTTGAACTGAAGGGGACGGAAGACCACGGATGAGATGGTCATGGCCTGATTTAACCTTGAGCACGAACGGCTCTGAGATGCACACCCCAGCCTGACCAATACTGAATACAGCTTCGCAGGCGGCAGAAGCTGGAGGACGGTTTAGCACGGGTGCAATGATTCGAAAGCTACATATAGTCTTTGCTGCTTTGGGGGGGTGTCGGTGTGGTGAGCCTAGAACCCGTCAAGGAACCGCGCCCATGTTTCGGGGTCTATTTTTGCTGGATCCTTTAATGTGGAAGAGAAGTATACACGCGAAGACCTGAGGACCTTAAACCCTGAGGCCGTGAAAGCGTCCTAAGTCTTCGAATCCGAGAAGCCGAAACCCGTAAACCTACCGCGAGAGTTCAGCCAACGTTTAACAAAAACTAAATCCAACGGCCAAACCCAAACGATGAACACCAAAGCCTCTATGAAACCCCAACAAAGCCTCAAGAACTGCATTATGTGTATGTATATATGAACATATGTACATATATATATATATATATCTCTCTCTCTCTGTCAATCTATCTATCTAACAGCTTTGTCCATGGTTTTACCCCACCCTTGCATTAAAACCCTCCTTTCAAGAGATCTGATGTGGGCCGAAGGCAGGCCGAAGGTCGAACCTTCTCTTTGAGGGACTCCCGGCTTTTGTGCTCCGTGGCGGCGCGGCCTTGGCTTTCACAGGCTTGCATGGTTTTGGGGTTTAGGGTTTAGGGCTTTGCTGTTTTCTGAAGCACCAGAAGCCAGCTTGCAGTGCTAGAGGTTTCGAGCACATGTGCGACACCTCCCGATCCTGCCAGTCCCACCAGAGCAGTATCACTGCCCGCTTGTCTCGCATCCATCGGGGCTGGCGGAGCCTCCAGCCTGTGGTTCCACGTCGGCACTGTTGCGTTGCGACCTTTCGTGTTGGAGTCCTGCCCCGTCTGTCGTCGCGTCCTCTCCTCGCTTTGAGATGTGCTGGCTCTGGCCCTAGGAGCCCTGCAGAACGGCCAAGCAGATCTGAGCCTCGCTTCTGCGCAGGAGATTTTGAAAGCGCGGCGACGTAGACATGTCCTCGGCGTCGCTGCATCCTCGAGCCCTCGGCAAGAACCCTCTCCGAGAGAGTGCTAAAGTACATGAAGTGACTAGCCCGGAAGAAGCCCTGAGCCTTCTGTGTTGCCAAAGTCTCCTGCCGTCGATGGGAGATGTGGTGGGGCCGCCCCAGCCCGTCGAAAAACTGTGGCAGATTCCACCGACCTTTGCCTGCACCGACTTCACCTTCCTCTGAAGTCTGCACAGACTGCGTCAGTTTTGCTGGCCGCAGCTGCAGGGAATCGCTGTACTTACACTGTGCCGGCTTGGACGTGTGTAACATCAGTCTAGGCACTTGACACTCTACTTCGCAGCTCAAAGAGGTGGCTGCATAGACCATATCTGCGACATATTCAGTATTGAGATCGTTGAAACATCCAGCATGGGCTGTTGCATTTCGGGTTGTAGGCGTTGACGGCAACCCTGAACCCCAAATGTGCAGAACCGCACACAACCGAAACAAAGAAGCCGATACCGCAAAAACCGAGCTTTATATCACAATACGCTCAAGCACGCAGAAGCATTAAAGCATTTGCGTTGTATGTCCAAAGCATCAACCCGAAACCCCTGTACCCTGAAACACTGGAACTTGAAATCATCCAGCCTACGCCCTGAAACCACAAACTCTGAAACCCTAAAGCCAAAGCGTAAACGCCAAACTGTGAAACCTCAACACTGGGCCGCCCAGCAGAGAGCGAGGTCATACTGTCGCATCACCGCCTTTGCACTCCAGAGGAGAAACCATGGTTTCATGGCCCTGATTGGGCCGGCGCTCTGGCTTTGGGATAGAAGACTCGGAGGCTTTCAGTGCTCGCCCTCAACTCGAAGCCCAATCCGTAAATTGTGTTTAGGACTCCAGTCGCGGCGGTTCAGATTGCACGAGTTCACTCACGCATCCCAACTGCGGGGCATGCAAAGCGCAGACACCAACATACTTCGGCAGCATCTTTAAATCATGGTTGGAAACCAAAGCCATCATAAGGCATATTCTTCTACCGAAGCAAGCCTATGCTTTTCTTGAACAACTTACGGCAACCATAAAACCTTCCAAAACCCGAAACCCGCAAACTCCGCACCTGCCGGGCTTGAACGAGGCCGCGCCGATCCGGCGGCATGGCGCTTCAATGGCGCGCAGCCGAAAGCTTTCTGTTCCGAAGGCCGGGTTTTCGGAGGGCTTCGGGGGTGCAGGGTTTAGGCTCGAGTTCAACACTCAGCTGCGATCTCTTTAGCTTGGGGCACGCGTTAAGTGGCCTTCGGGCTGAAGGCTTGCGGTTAAGGGCTTCGGGGGTTCTCGCAGGATTACAAATCTGGGTTGATGTCTGCGTGTAAGCCTCAAGGTCACAACACAACAACATGCGGAGATTCTCGACATCTGGATCTTTGCATGGCTTATGAGCAATTTTCAAGGCAAGTAGTTTCAAAGGCACGGGACCCCTAGTATATATCCGAAGCAACATGATCCCGTTTTAACCATAACCACCCCTGACCATGCCACTCAAAAAAAACGTCATGAAACTCTAATGACTCTAATTTGCAAGAATGACGTAGCTTTGGAACTACAGACTCAACGACTGGTATCCGACAATCCGGCCAACTGGCAGCCGGTCTGATTAAAATGCAAAATGGAGTCGTCGAGGAATGCGTGCCAAAGAAGAAGAAAACAGTCATTTTGATCCGATCTGGCCGCAAACTCCAGATGCGTCGCATCACAACAAGTCTTTTGACGGCAATGTAACGCTGCGTGGAGTGGCCATGGCACATCAAATGTGGCCGGATCTGGGCTCCAAGTCGCCTACGCCACTTGCGCCACTTGCGCCACATCTGCGCCGCTTGTGGCAATTGCGCCGCCTGTTGCTAAACAAAAAGCAAACAAACCAACCAAAAACAAAAAAACAATAGACGAAGCAACAAGCAAAACCACATACAAAACAACAAACAAACAAAATGAAACAGCCTGCGCTCAGGTTCTGTTGCGAGACAGGGCTTCCGACTCCAGGATTGCGACTGGCTTAAACACAAGTTTTCCGTAACTTGGAAATTGAACTTCAAAAAGAAAGCGGCAGAGGGCGTCGGGTTGATCCATGGATCAAACTTTTGGAACCTAGGTTCCACTGGGGTCGAACACAAGTTCCCGAACGTTCGACCGTAAAGTTAACCAACTTGAGATTCGAGCATAGAATTTCCAAGCCCAGAAATTGAACGTGCCAAGAATCAACGTGGCAAAGTATTGCCAGGCCATCAAAGCGCTGCAAATGGTTTTTAATGAACGCTTCTTTCGTACTTCCATGAAATTGCAACAGTTCTAAACTGGTTTTGGAGATCCGGCCCAAAAAGCAAAGCATTCATTACTGTTAATCTGGCTATCAAGCCAAATCAGCAGACGTGGATTTGGAGGTTTGGTTCCAAATCGTGAAGCAGACGTGGCTTGGAAACGTCCACACACCAAGAAACGCTTTCCGATGTTTTCATGTTTTTGCAACGTTGAATTTGGAGTGGGTCGTAGTGCTGCCTGCTTGCAAAACTTAGAGCTTTCCCTTTATCCACATGGCAAAGTAGAGGTGCGAAGCACGTTCCGTTTAGTTTTTGGAAACCAGACGGCAAGAACCACGTCGACCACGACAACGACCACAACAACTACGACTACGACTACTGCTACTATTGCTACCACAAGCACCACGACTACTACTTCTTTCTTCTTCCATCGCAGCGGAGTCCGGCAACCGCTAAACGTCCCTAACAGCAACGACTTATGTCGTCGGTGCCTTTCGGCACACTCTTTGTGTCTGAGTCCCCCGGCACGAATGCCAGCAGGGTTTGTCCCAGCCAAAAGTCCTCCGAGTGTTGTCGGAGAGTACAATGGAAGCGGAATACAGTGAATAAAAAGACAGAAACTCCATCGTTACCGCAGGATGTGCGACCCGATGAGTGCAAGTATGTGGCACTGTGTGCAAGCTCGAAAGCTCACTGAGGTGCACGGCTTGTTGCTGATCGCACATTTCCAAGCAGCTACCTCTGCCAACGATGATTACACACCATGAATTGGAGTGCTGCCAAACTCGTCATCGTCTGGAGACTTTTCCAGGCCATCACTCCTTTGGCTTACAATCATTTTCGAGAAAGAACAACGGTCGTGCCCTCTTCGTGAGAAACGATGGTCGCGTTGCACCGGTGCACCACGTTCCTGATACCAAGCGCATCTTCTAGGCAGCAAGCTGAGACAAATTACAAACGGAAGAACCTACGCCAGCAACCTTGCAAACGAAGTGCAAATTTGCAGATCTCTTGCACCACAGCTGCTTCGTGCCTTCGTGAGAGCATCTATGTGCTTCGAGTTCCTGCAGCTGTCTGAGTTAGCTGCATTGCTTGATGAGCTTCACGTCAAACAGAGAGAGTTGGCAACTCTGGTGGAAAGGCGTGTTGCACAGCACAACAACACGTTGGAGAAGCCCTCCAATGGTGTGGACAGTCTTGCAGAGACGCTTTGGGCAACTGAAGCCATGTCCTGCATGAATCTGCGTTTTGCATCGCGGTTGTGGGCATTCGTGCTTCTACAACCTTTTCGCCACTGCGTGGTGCGTGTGGTGGGTTTGAAAAAGGGATAGTGCACGCTTCGCGCTGAGAAAATCGCGGAGGGTATTTCCTGAATCCACCACACGCACGTAGCGGAAATCAGATTTAAGAAGCGCTTCCAAATGGCAGAAAAACAGCAATCAGGGTTACTACACGCCCGCCATGGTGAAAAATGCAACTACGCAGTGAATTTCGGTGAAGCAACTTCTCACGGACTGCAATTTCCAAGCACCATTCCTCTGCACTTGAGATCATGAATAGTACCATTTTAGGAGCACCCGTGCTTCCGAATCTGCTTTCCGCCACAGCGTCGCGGTGCCGTGTGTGCCAGTGTCTGTGACTCCACTCTGCGGAAATTGCCATTTCGAGCCTCTGCCCCCCGCAGCTAAATGCATTTTGATTGCTAGTTCGTGGGAGGCTGCGAGGTTCGCGCCTCGTGGCTTTGGAGAGGTTGTGGATGATGCCCACACGTGGTCTTTTGCGTCTTGCCAAGAGGCCTGCTTCAGGTTAGCACGGAAAGCCGGAAAAGGCACAAAGGGCTCCAAGCCAAGCTTGAAGTCGGTTGTAATGCATGTTCCAGCAGCTGTGCTACCAAAACGGCCTACTTGTATCGCACAAAATCGCGGCTTCAGAAGAGTCTGTGGTTCAAACAGCACTCCGAACGTCGGGATGCAAGTCAGGCCAGTCAAGTAGGGTCTGAATGGCACAAGGTTCAGGCATGGTGTAATGTTCTACTTCAGGCTTGATCCAAGCTTGAGGGCGGCTGGAATTCACGCTGGGTGACAGGGGATGCAAGCAAGCAGGTTGCCACAGAGAGAGCATGCGCACAGGAATGAGACTGCTCCAAGCCACCAGCACTTGCAAGCACGCTCAGACTGCCCGTGTATGGACCGAAAGTCCGATGCTTCCGAGCTTCTGAGGAGGAGAACATGACACAAACACGACTGCTGCTATCCAAGCTGGATTGTGACTCCAGGATGTGTACTTTGTCAAGTAAACTTTGTGAGAACCTGTGCGATTCACCAGTTCCACTCCAATAGCGGTCACTGTCGCTCAATTTCGATGCCACCGAACGGCGTGCTCACACAGTTCTTCACTGACGACAATGCTATAGCCCGCAAAGTCAAGTTCTTCCAGCTTGTTGGGATTCAAGAGAATGCTTACATTGTCTTTCTGCAGCGCGCCGACTGAAAATCAGTCGAACTGTTTTATGGACTTGTGGAAAGGTAAAGATTCAACTGCGTCGAAGGCAAGAGTATTCCAGCCGACGAGTTACCATGCGCAGGAAAGGAGCTGGACGTTGGGAATGGAAGTCCGAGGAACAGACGTTGGCAGAAGGATTTCGCCATTGCTGGATATGCATCCAAAAACCCGTCCCGGAGGAGTTCAAAGCGTGGAAGACGCATGGAACCGTGTCGACAAGAAGACAGCGATGACTGTGCGGAGAAAGGAAGTGAACTCGTGAAAAGCAAAACCATACTTGGGGTCTTTCGGGCTGTGTCCATCCCCCGGCGAACGCCAGTTCTGTCGAGCCAAGGCATGCAACTGCATTCTCACTCGTTTGGGATAATGCAGGGCGATTGCATTCCAAAACGGAGTGCATGCGTAGTGAGCTCTGTGCTTACACTTTCATGCTCAGCAGTTGCATGCTGCATTGAGATAAACCAATGCGACTGGTGAGTGCGAGGGCCTGCAACTGCCGAGTTTTGCGACCATCATGTGTTTTATTCCAATGCAGTGAGGTTTCAGCGTCCGCGAGAGCAGATGATCATGTTATCAGCTTGCATGCATTCACTCATGGTTTGCATATATATGCTTTTGAGATTGCATTCCCCTTTTGGATGCTGGGGCTGCATTTTCATCGCTATAGCCTCCCGGCTGACCCACAGATCTTCCATTTTAGATCATGGCCCAGCCCTCGAGCCTGGCCGGCGATGCCACACGAAAGCAGTAGTGATCCGGCGGTCTTAAAGGATTGCATACAACACTGAGTTCAGCCAGCTCGTGTCCTACATTCGCAGTGGACCTGCATTGGGGCGTGTGAAACTGTTGTCAGCCATTGCATCGAATTTCCACCTCCCTCGTGCTGCTGCCAACACGGAGTCGGCTAAGGGCAAACCGAAGGAGGCAGTGGACAAATCGTCCATTTCTGAAAGGAAGAACACGCAACCTGTGCAAGCGATGCTTTCAAGGTACGTACATGGGTGGTAAGCCTCCAGCTGGAAACTCCCTCTGAAAGAAACCAGGCTGCCACCATCCACCCTTTCTTCCAACAAAACTTCCTGAAAAGAGAAACTGACATGGACGCATATTTGACCACACACACACACACACGCACACCCACACACACACACACACACACACACACATACATGCAAACGCACAACACACACACACACACAACGGAACACGCACACAGCACACGCACACAGTACACAGCACACGCACACGCACACAGCACAGAACTGCAACACCCACAGAAAAACACATAAACACAATCTTGTTGCCTTTTCACACATTTGACAGACACATGACGATGTCTCGAACCAATGCGCATAATTTTTTCTGTTTGGTTTTGCGTCCAGATTGCAAGACACTGAAATTTTCTCTCTCTCTCGCCGTCATCTTCCATGGCTGTCCCTTCTCAGAGCCTGCAATGGAAGCCTCCTGTTTCCTGCAAAAAACTGGCCAGCCTATTGGCACAAAAACACAGTTATGATTGAATGCTGAGATGAATGACTTCTCGCAGAGACTGTTTCTGCGGACAACAAAGGAAGTTTCCTGCATTTGGCAACTGCAGACTGTTGTGCGGGAAGACTGTCACCTTCTGTGTCAAGCTTGTTTTTTCCGTCTGTTTCCTGCCAAGAGAAATTCCTCCAGCTGCTAAGTCGCCGTACATTCCGGGAGAGCTGGCATGACCGCAGAATGTAGATGTTTGAACTTGCGCAGGACAGTAGCACGGCATCTTTTTGAATCGCAGTAAGTAAGCCTTGTCGTTTCTCGTTCGATGGCACGAATGTTTTAACGCGCATTGAGCCCGGCACTGAGAGTGATCAGCGGTCAGTGAGCTTCGCTGTCGCCTCTCTGGTGTTGAACTGTTGCCCCAGCAGCGAGTATCTGTTGAGCAGTGACTAAGCTCTGCCAGCTTTTAGTACGTGAGTCAGTGAGTGTGAATGAGTGAGCTTTGCTGCGACGAACGGTTGCCTGCAGCGCGTAATTTCTTCTTCGCTGTCGGGTGAGCAGTGACCAAGCTTCGCTCTTTCTTTTCCAAGGGAATGAATGTTTACAGTTTACGGCTTTGAGCCCGGCGCTGAGAGTGATCAGCGGCGCAACCTTGCTGTGACCCGACATGGCCCTGCCCTGCCCTGCCCTGCCCTGCCCTGCCCTGCCCTGCCCTGCCCTGCCCTGTCCTGTCCTGCCCTGCCCTGCCCTGTCCTGCCCGCCCTCCTGCCCTGTGCTGCCCTGCCTGCCCTGCCCTGCCCTGCCCTGCCCTGCCCTTGCCCTGCCCTGCTGCCCTGCCTGCCCTGCCCTGTCCTGCCCTGCCCTGCCCTGCCCTGCCTCCTGCCTCCTTCTGCCTGTCCTTCCTCCCTGCTCTCGCCTGGTTCCTGACCTCCTCCTTGCCCTGCCCTACCTTGTTCACACTTCGAGCACTCCTTACAGTTACAGGGCGCAAGATGCAAGCTGTTTGTTGGAAACCCTGGCTTTACGTCGAGCGGCCGGCACAGGCCGCGAGGACGACAGAAACCATTTCTGTTGTGATTTCTGGAGAAATATTATTGTTTACATGTCAAGCTGCGAAAGGAAGCAGAAAGTAAGAAAGCCCCCCTTGAGGGGGGTTTGGGGGGTGAACCCTAAACCCTAATTGAGAATAGTTGGGGTGGTTGGGGCGGGACTACATGCTGACGCAAGCGCGCGATTAGCGGGTGCGCCCCTTATTCCTAAAGTAAAAGGCGCATACACACCCTAAACCCTAAACCCTAAACCCCTAAACCCTAAACCCTAAACCCCTAAACCCTCAACCCTAAACCCCTAAACCCTAAACCCGCAAGCCTAAACCCTAAACCCTAGGGTTGGCTAAGTGACCGCACGGGCTTTGCTAAGTGACTTGAAACATGATACGGTTTCCGATTGGCCAAGTGACCGTAAAAAGGGTTGGCTAAGTGACCCTAGCACCCTTCTCGGCAAAGCGCCGCACGAGCAGCTGCTTCGGTTTTAAACATGCCTTGGCTCACATACTTCCAACTCCGGTGGTACACCGAGAGCTTGTGCTGCCGCCGGGAGGCGGGAATGTCTTGGATCTTTCTCCAGGACGCGGAGCACTTGATCCACGACTTCTCGGGGCTCCTTTCTTTTTTCCTTCCTCCTCCTTTTCCTCCTTTTTCTCCTTCTTCTCCTTGTCCTTGGACTTCTTCTCCCTATCCTTCTCATCTTTTTTTTCATACTTCTTCTCTTTTCTTCTATCCTTCTCCGTTTTTTTCATCCTTTTTTCCTCCTCCTTATCCGTATCCTTCTTCCTCTCCTTGTCCTTGGACTTCTCTTTTTCCTCCTCCTTTCTCCCATCTCCCTCTTCCAGATGGTGTAGGGTCTAGCTTCCTCCTCCTCCTCCTTTGAGCCCGCAGGCTCAGGATTCTTCTGCTCTTTCTCCTCCCTCGCCGCCTCCGGCTGCTCCGACGACTTGCCCCTTCACGTCCTTCCCCAAGCTTTCTTCGGTCTCCTCCCCATTCTCAGACGGAGACGTCGCTCCTTCTCTGGCCCTGGCCATACTTCTCTCGCTTTCCTCTCTTTGTTTTTTCCTTTCCTCTCTGTTTTGGGAGGGGCTGCTCCTCCGACTTCTCTGCCGCTCCCGTGGCGAGGGCATGGCCAACGACGACTTCGCCTGGCCAGGTGCAGGGGAACATATATGCAGGGGTATACGTACACAGACCCCCCCACATATATATCTATATATTCTGTGTGTGTAGCACATCGGAAACCGTGGTCTCCTTCGTGGCTCATCACCATGCACGCTATAACAAAGCGTGGTCTGCTTGCATGCATTGGTGGCAAGCAAACCGTAGTCTGCTTGCACCTGTGCAGGAAACCGTGGTCTCCCGTTTGGGACAGTAGCGAACCTTTGTCCACCATTCTGCCTCGTCTATATTTTAGGATATAGATATATATAAATAACAAACTTGTTTATTTGTCCCGTGTCTACCTCTCCGGCCTCGTATTTCGGCCCGCCCGTGCACGGAGGCTCCCTGCAGGAGCCAAGCAGCTGCAAACACCGGAACTGCAAAGCTCGAGCACACGTGCATGCTATGGACTATATGAAGCAAACACATCCCTGGACAGAGCAACAGGCAAGGTTTTAACGCAACTGCAAGCAGGATGTGCGCATTCAGTCCACGTCGGCAGCATACTTCCTCCGTTTGGAGGGCTGGCTTCTAGGCAACCTAGGATTCCTAGCAGGAGGAGGCTCTGCTGAGCTCACTGGGCAGGCCAGGGAGAAAGAGCCGTGGCTCTGGGTGATCTTCTCAAGCTTCCAAGGCCAGACTTCGCCATACTTCTGCTTGCCTTTGTACATCCTTCCCTCGGCGAAGCCCTGCAGCTTCATCAGGAGGCTGGGTCTTGCATCTCCTGCAACGGCATCGCCGGAGGACGCAGCTGTGGAAGTTGCCGCAGCAGCAACTGCAGAGCCACTCTTCACACCCATCTCGGTTTCGTACAACTCCAGCACCTCGGCCAAGCTGCCGAACTCCAGACCTTCTGGCCCACTTTTTCTTTTTTGCACATCACCAGATTGCTTCGAAACGTTGTCTATTCTACAACAAAACGACCGCCTCTCTCCTCGGACCTCCCTGGCGCCAACGTATATACCCCGCACATGCTCTGGCAAAAAAACTTCGAAGTCTGCAAAACCCATCGAATCAAAGGTCGCGTCGAGACGTAGCCAAAGCGAAAACGACCATTCGCAGGCTGTAGCGGCAAGGCAGCAGCTTCCCAGCACAGCCTGGCATTTACGGGTATGGTGATGAACATAGCTAGCTGAAGCAGGTTCACGCAAACGCTGCTGGTCATGCTCAGCAGATCAACGATGGATCGCAGCTGAGGCGGCCGAATCTCTCCACTGCCTTGGCACGTCTCGGCGCATCTGTCGTCGCAGTGAGATGCCCTGTGCAGCATCTCTTCCCAGTCCCGCACTGACTCCTCCAGGGGCTTCGAAGTCAAGCGGGTCAGGTCGGCCTTCGTCTGGAGCCTGGCCACTTTGTCCACAACCTTGGTCGCTGTCAAGTTTGTCGCGATCATAGCAGCCCGAATCATGGCATGCGAACGCTCTTGGCGTGCGAATTTCAAGCTCTTGCTCGCCCCGTACTGCAGGCTGAAATCGTGCAGGAATTTCAGCAGGGGCGCTTCCGTGCCTCCGGCATAAAACCGACAGAACAAGCCGCATGCGGCCGCGGTCTGTGGAGAGGCATCGGGCACTGTAGCTGCCACGTCACTATTTGCATATCGTCCCAGTCGATGGACAGGCCTTGGGCTTCGAGCAGCTTTGCACGAGTCACCATCGCCATGGCGAGTTCAAGCTCGCCTTCCGTTCTTGCAACTCCTTGGGCTGCATTCATGACTTCTTGAACGAAGGAGGCACGCGAGGGCAGAACTGCATCTACCTCTGCTGCCAGCAAGAGCCATTCCCAGCCATTCTCCACGGCCTGCCGAAAGTCCATAGACAATCGCTGCACACTCAGCTTCCCATTGTCCGATACACTCGGTTAGTCCGCGCACGGACAGTCTGCGCTGCAGGCACGGCAGAATGCCGTAAAGTGGCTGCAGGCCGAGCACATGAACCATTCATCGCCTCTGACCTCAGCCGGAAGGCCATGATTCAACTCCACTTGTCGCCTGTTTGAAGCTCAAGGCATTCGCAGAGATGATCTTGTCTATACTGATCTCCATGCAAACACTTCGCCTCAACTCCATGGAGCTGAAGCCTACGCTCTGTACTTGTGCTCCGGTTTTATGCACCTGGCTTCCATTCAATCCTAGCCCTGCGCGATTCGACGGGTGCACGAGCCAGGTGCTCTTGCAGCAGCTGCTTGTAGCACTTCCTGCTCTTCAGCAAAATATCTTCGATCTCCGTCCATCTTTCCAAAGCCGGAGCATCTTTCTTCAAAACTATTTCCACGGCCGTAGCCCAGGTAGGCTTTATCTCTCTAAACTTCTCTGGAAAAAAGGGCTGCATGGCAAGAAGTTGCATTTATTGTCCGCCCTGCCCCCCTCCCCCCCGCATGAGCCCGGAACACCCTTCAAACACAAACCCTGCACCCCTCTTTATAGTGTGATCTACGTGTCCAACATAGTGATATCCCTATATAAGAATTGTACTTAAAAAAGTTATGTTAACAGAGCTAAAGTTTAGCTAAACTCCCTAAGCTTTGTAAATGTTTAACATACTTACACCACTTATGTAAACACTCAGCTTAGCCTCTTAGCAGTTGTATTTGTTTTTCACACTTAAAAGTGGTTTGCATTTTACATACAACCATTTTGCATGTTACTTATTATAAACGTACTGCTACATTGCATAATGTTTACAAAGCACCGGTTCTTTCCAGTAGTTTCTAGTTAAACCCTTTGTCCAGCCACAACAGCTTTTTGCCCGGCTGCTTTTCTGTGAAACTCAGAACACCCCGCGCATGGGGCGACCTTCTGGCCCGGCATCAGTTGTCGTGGCTGGGCCAACACGAAACGGCAGGAGCAAAGTTTAAGATTCCCGTCTCCAGGGTGGCCTTTGGAAAAGGCGCCAGGCAGCTGCAGCTTGAACTCCGGCGCAGCAAGCTGCCGCAAAAGCTCTGTGCCGGCATGGGCGTCATCCCCCGCGATTCTTTGTGTGTCACGTGTTTCGAGATTGGCTTGCTGTTCTCGCTCGCGGCACGTGTCTCATCGCAAAGGGGAGTGTTGTAAAGGCAGCTTGCCACATAGCGCAACTAAAGCCCGGCTTTGAAGCTACACGTGCAGGGCCAATCATCTTGATAAGCCCCGCAGCGATGACTCTCAAAACTTCAAAGCAGACTAGGACATAATGGCTTTTGATTGCACGTGCCGCGCTCGGCTACCCGAACCCTTCACGATTCAGTAAGAATTCAGTGTTATAACTGTTGCGGGTTTCGATGTCTGGCCGCAAGTGGGCGCAATGAATTGTTTTTCTGCCGCCGCCGGAATCTGATGGCGCGCCGCCAGACTTTTGACACGGCCCGGCACAACAGCACACTCGCAGCCCCAACAACCAAGTCCAAGGCCAAGTCCGACTCCACGATTCATTGCGCCCACTTGCGGCCAGACATCGAAACCCAGCAACAGTCATAACACTAAATTCCCAGGTTTGAGAGTCGCAAGCAAGCAGCAGCGCTGCGGGACTCATCAAGACTAATTGGCCCTGCACGTGTAACATCGAGGCCACTCTAAGGCTTTAGCTTCGCTATGTGGCAAGCTGCTTTTGCAACACTCCTCTTCGGGATGAGACGCCTGCAACACACAAGGAAGGGAATGACACCCACGCCATCATAGGGTTTTGCGGCAGCTCCCAGGGCCATGGGTGTTCTGAATTTCACAGAAAAGCAGCAGGGCATATAGACTTGCGTCTGGCTGCCGCTTCAACTGATCCTACAATCGGACAAAGGGTTTAACTAGAAACTACAGCCTTGTTCGCGACTGCGTTTGACGCGGAAGGTGAATCGTCATGCCCACACGGCCCGGCACAACACTTGAAGCAGCACACTTGCAGCCCCAAACAACCAAAACCAAGTCCAAGTCCACTGACTGGCGGCACTTGCCCAAACCGAGCCACGTGCTGCATTGCTGCGGCAAAGCAACAATTGCAATTCATTGCGCCCGCCAGCCCCTGGACAACAACTCAATGGCAACTTAACCAGACTTTGTGGAATTGGAACCTTGCACGGCCGGGCACAAGGCAGGTCCGTGCTTGCTGCATCCACTGCCGGCCGGCTTAAACTCCTTCGCGGCTGACCTGCCAGTGGGTTTGGCCAGCTACTCTGGCTGGACAGTGACTTTTCAGGCTTCTCAACGTCAGGCGCGGCACTTGCAGTAAACAGCCTAGTCCGTGTTGGCGGGCGCAATAAATTGCAATTGTTTCTTTGCCGCAGCAATGCAGTGGCAGCACGTGGCATCGGCAGAAAAACAATTCATTGCGCCCACTTGCGGCCAGACATTGAAACCCGCAACAGTTATAACACTAAATTCTTACTAAATCGTGAAGAGTTTGGGCAGCCAAGCGCGGCACGTGCAATTCAGAGCAATCAAGTTCGAGCCTGCCGTGTGTTCAATCCCGTCGTGGCTACCGCTTTATCTGATCTCTACAATTGGACAAAGGGTTCAACTACAAACTATAGTTTTTTTGGCGTATGCGGGCCTCGTCGACTACAGCTGTAGCTCTCGGTCCCAACAAACAAACAAACCAACAAACAAACGAAAAGACAGCGGCGAAACAGTCTAATTAAGAGGACAAAACTAGCTGCGGCGCACAGGCTTTACCTGCGTTAGCCGTTCAGCAACAACTACGGGTCCTCAGCGATCGTTCCACGACAACAGTGGGCCGTCGCCCAAAGCTGTCCAGAACCATCGGTGGAGCCCAAATCCAAGGCTCCGGCCGCCGTTCTAGTTCCGTCGAACAACGGACAGCCCCGAGGTACTGTTGTGTCCCGATCGTGCACGGCAAAATCCACAAGTCCAAATTCCATGGCAAGGAGATGGTAAGAACCGTCGACGTATGTCGACAGGTATGGACACGTGGTTAACCAAGGCAGTAATCGAAGCTCTAGCTCCTAGGTCGAAGGCCATCGATCCAGCAGACGCTGTATGTCATTGCCATCACTATCCATTTTTTGAGGGCCGCGCAACCAAAACACCACAACCCACAACCGCACCAAGATCCCAGCCCAGTGTAATGGCTGCTGTGCGAAGTCGACACAGTGCACCGTGTAAAAGCCCAGCGGACTGAAGTGGGAGAGTGGGCTGCGCCCGCAATCCCAAAGAGGCATCGTCTAAGGGCAGCAGGAGGCGAAAGGTGCCCCTACATACGCCAGGGTAGGAGAACATTTGCGGGTCGAAATCGCCGCGCCTTGCAGGAAGAATTCCTCGGTGGAAGCTTTCCATCATGCGGGCAGCAATCGCAATTTGGGGCTTGCCCACCAACGATGTCGGCACTTCTACCTTGACCCTGAGTTCAACGAACTGCGTGCCATTGTGTGTGACGGGCGCAACACGGACAATTTGCAAGAGGGGCGTCGGAGCCAGTACCTCTGTGGCGTTTGCCGGTCTCGGTGGGCTCCTTCCGGGGCGCGAGAGACATTTGGATAAGGCTCCCATCGCGTACAGGGGACTTGATACCAGCCGTAGCATTGGGAAGCGAGAACCTGAGCCCATCCAGTTCGTCTAATAACAACCACCACCATGTTTCCGGGCGTGCCAACTCATACCACGACAGATCAAAGACGCGGCCTGAAGAGCCGTAACACGGGGTCGCAAAACTGAGCAAGGGCTATGGAAACTGCCAATATCGGCGTGAGGCACACCCGGAAAGCCTCACTGGCCGTACACTGCCGCAGCATGAGCGCACGATCAGCAAAGTCAACCACACGCGCTCCGAAGTTCTGCGGGCTGATTTTTACTTCACATGCAGGCAACGACAACGGTAACTGCAACAATGAGAGACAGTCTTCGCCGTTGGGGAGAAGATCCCGCAGAGCCGTTAGACTAGCTGACCCGTCGATGAACTCCTGTTGCTTGCCTCTGGCTTGGAAGTTGCGCAGAATCGCATGCTGCTCTCCAAAGTCATCTTCCTCCTCCGGCGGCACAGTCTTGCTGGGGATTGCATCCACCCCCGGCACCAGACGGTCGGGCGGTGCATCAACGGCGTCTAACACAACGTACCCACACGCTGGTTCCATTCAGTGGTAGGCGCCTTGGGGACAGACGCAGCGCAGCTTTGACTGCGAAGCTCGGCCGTCAGGCCAGGATCGTCGTTAGTAGGCACACAGTCCTCCGAGTCGGGTGAAGCCACCCCATCGGTGTCATAGAGAGCGCGGGGGAGACTTGTGGTGGCAGAAGGTGGGAGACGGACGTCCGGTAGACGGATTTTTTTCAACAGCGTCGACACAAAGTGCTGGAGTCTCCCTAGCAATGCAGTGTCGACCGTGTCAGAAGCAATGGAGTAAAGATAGAACACACCAGGGACCGAGGCAGCTAGCACCCCTCCAGCCTCCCCCTGACCCCGGCACACGGTTGTGCTTGTGTCAATCATGACGTGCGCTCCGATCAACGACCGATGATGCGGGGAACGGAAGGCGGCATAGGCGCACTTGGGCGGCTGCAGGCCCTGCCCCTTGTGTGCGCGCAAACGTTGGAGGCTGAAGCGTGGCGGGTCCGTAAATTCCAGCAGTCCGCAAATGGGAGTCTTGGTGTCAAGCACGGGGTAAAAGGGGCGGACTCGTGTAGGCTGGCCATCGGGGCCACTGTGTTCGAAATCCATGCCCCTCAGGAGCAACTGCGCCGGGTATTCAGGCAAACCGCTAACAGCCACTAGTGCGCAAGCACCGCATAATGGCGGTATTCGGTTGACAGACCACCGCTGGTAAAACTCCTTGGCCGTGTCCTTATCCTCGCGCGGCGGGGACTGCGATCCCAGGCGCGCCAAGCCGTAAGTTCGGTAGAGGTCCTCCCAACGGATGAGAGTTTGGTGGAGTGAAGCGTGGAGCTCGAGGGCCGCAAGGATGCCCCACCAATGGGATGGAGCCGCGATGATAAGAGGGCCCGTGGGCCGCGTACTGCCTGCCGTGAGCCTCTGGTGGGCGTCCTAGCCTTGTCGACTAAGCAGATGTCCACAGCCCCCGTGGTGCCGGCACACACCGTAGTGGTGAAAAGGTCAACGAAGACACCTAGTTCATGACGGTGACCAAAGAAAAACTCGTACAAAGCTTTCGCCTGTGCTTCGGACGTCAACCTGCGGGGCTGGGGGAGGCTGGGTAAGTACTGCGCAATGAAAGCCGAGAACGACGTACCCTCAGCAACCACCCGGTGCGCGGCACCGGTATCTGCATTAGGCCGGGCGCGGGTTGCTCAATCCCAATCCATGCTTCAATAGTTCAAACACCCTGGTGGTTGGCGTGACGACGGTGATTTTCCGTCCGGCCTGCACCGCGATGCGGTGCCCACACAGATTGTAAG